AGGCACTTCAGTCTGGTGATCATCAGCGTTTCTGCACTTTGTTAGGGCTTGTGCCCACTTTTCCTCACTTGCTGTAGGCTTTGCCTGTACTGTGATTTATATATATATACCTGCATGCTTGCATTGCTAGGTAGAGATCACTGTGATGTTTGTGTTGCATATATGCCTCTGCATGTGAACTCGCCTTGTGGCTCTTTGCTTGTGCTCAGTGTGTGTGGTGACTTTGTGATCCACCCTGAGCTTGCGTTCTCCTTCTTGACTGGTCTTGTGACTCCTTGCTCTACCCCATTTAGCCTATGGGGGTGTGTCAAACATTATATATATTATTGCTGTGTAGGCTACAGTGGGTTAGCCTTTAGGGGGTACAATACTCTAGGGTTTCCTACTTGTACCACCAATGTTCCTAGTTCAAACACTTCTTGTTTCTGACAGAGGAGACCAGAGCGGGGCCTAGGATGAAGCTGATGGACGCCCCAGGGAAGCAAAGCGACTGGCAGCAGCCCATTCGCTTGGTGGAGCTGTTCGGGGGAATTGGGGCAGGGCTGGTAGCAGTGGTAAAGAATGGGATAGCAGTGCAGCAGTGGATATATGTAGAATAAGCGCCGGAGGTGAGGAAGATGGCGGAGCATCACACATGGAGGTTGCACGCCGAGTTCCCAGAGCTCCTGAGTGCAGAGGTGATTCGGGACGCCATGGGCAGCACCCTTCATGACGTGAGCCAGGTGACGGAGGCGCAGGTGGCCAGCTGGGGGCAGGTAGATCTGCTGGTGGCGGGATGGGAATGTCAAGGGGTGTCTTGGGCTGGAAAAGGGAAGGGAGGGGAGGACCCGAGAACGAAGCTGATGGAGAGTTTGTTTCGCATTTTGGAATGGCTGCAAGAAAGACAAGGAAGGGTGGCGTAACTGTTGGAGAATTCGGACCTGGAAGGGGATTGCCGTGAGCCGATTCGGCTGGTGAGAGATAGGATCAAGAGACAGTTGGGGAAGGGGATCAGCTGTGACGCAGCCAGGGTGGGGTCTTATCCACACCGGCTGAGGATGTATTGGCAGAACGTCGTCCCGGTGTTGAAACTGCAAGAAGAGGTGGAGGGGGTGAAGAGAGCAACGGGGAGAAGGGTGCTGGACATCTTGGAACCAGGGCGGACTCCTACACCAGTGTGCCAGAAGGGCTACAGCAAGCACTACCCTTGCAACCAGGTGGGACGAGACAGGAGGGCCCTGCCCACCCTGGTGTCGTATGTGGGCGCAACCGGCTACACATGGGAAGGGGGGAGGCCGGGACCAGGACTGGTGTACGATCACAGGCAAGGGCGGTGGGAGGAACCAACGGCGTTGGAAAGGGAGCTAGCCATGGGGTATGGGGAGAACGTGACAGCAGCCCCAGGGGTGAGTGAAGAGGAGAGGAGGAGGGCGCTGGGGAACGCCATGGACAGATACATGATAAGGTGGCTGGTTCAAAGGATGTGGAGGGAGACGGTATTGAGCTGGGGGCATGAAGCAGAGGGAGGGGCGGCAGCGCCAGTCCCACAAGGAGCTTGGACCTGCAAGGAGGAGGAGAGAAAGAAATGGACATTAGGGGAGGCGATGAGTGAAGAAGGAAGGGAGGTCATGCGGGAGCTGCTTGACAAGCACAGGAAGTGCTTTGCCTTCACGCTGCAGGAGTTGGGACGGTGCAAGGTGAAGGAAATGGAGCTGAAATTGAATAGCACGGAGCCGGTATTTCACCGCAGGAGGAAGATGCCGCACGGAGATGAGGAAGTCTGCTAAGAGAAGGTCAAGGAGCTGCTGGAAGCAGGACTGATTAGACGCTCAGAATCAGAATACGCTACACCAACGGTGGTGGCTGCGAGGAAGGACCTGACAGGGGAGATACTAAGCAGGAGAATGTGTGGCGACTGCAGAGCGCTCAACAAGATCACCATAGCCGACAGGTACCCGATGCCGATGGCGGAGGAGATATTTGACAAGCTAGCAGATGGGGTCTTCTTCACGACGCTGGACCTGTGGCAGGGGTTCAATCAAATCAAAATCAGAGAGGAAGACATAAAGAAGACGGCGTTCCATGGGCCAGACGGGCTGTACGAATGGCTGTACATGCCATTTGGGTTGAGGGTTATGGATGCGGTGCTGCGAGATGTGGAATGCGCGGCCTACTATATAGATGACGTGGTGATCTTCAGCACCACTGAGCAGCATCACCTGCAGGATGTGAGTAAGACGCTGGCGGCACTGGAGGCAGCAGGACTCACGTGCCACCCCAAGAATTGCATGTGGGGGGAGCAAACGGTGCAGTACCTGGGGTATGAGGTGAAGGGGGGGCAGATTGGGATCCAGCAGGCAAAGGTAGAGGTCTTGGACAGGCTGCGGGAGCCCAAAGACAAGTCAGGGCTGAGGGCAGTGCTGGGCTTCCTGAGCTACTACCGGCGGTTCGTACCCAACTTCAGCAAGCGAGCAGCAGCATTGAATGGGCTGCTGAGGGAGGACAGGGCCTGGGAGTGGGGAGAGGCACAGAAAGGGGCACTGCAGGACTTGATGACAACAGTGAAGACAGCAACCGTGCTGCAACTGCCAGCCGCTGACCAGCCGTTCACCCTCTACACCGACTGGAGCAGCCAGGGGATGGGGGGGATACTTTGTCAAGCGGTGAAGGGAGAGGAGAAGGTGGTGGCATACGCGAGCAGATGCTGTAATTCAGCAAAGGCACTGTATAGCTCATACATCGGAGAGGGGTTGGCAGCAGTATGGGCCGTGGGGCACTTCAGAGTGTACTTGCAGGGCCGAGAGTTCACCTTGGTAACAGATCACCAGCCCCTGACATGGCTGATGACGACGCCGGGGTTGACGGGCAGGAACGCACGGTGGGCAATGAAGCTGCATGAATATGACTTCAAGATCAGACACAGGCCTGGGAAGACCCTACAGCACGTAGACGGGCTCTCCCGAAACCCCCCACCACTGGAACCGACGGTGACATTCACGCTGCTGGCCAGACAGGTAGAGATGAACGGGGCAAAGGGAAGCAAGGGTCCAGCAGACATCTGGGAAGATGAACAGGCCATGCGGTGGGTAAAGGGGGAGACAGGGGAGGATGAGGCAATGCCAGAGAGGGTGAGAGCAAGGGGGCACCACTACAGGTGGTACCAGCAGCAGCTACAGATACAGACGGAGGAAGGGTGGAAGTTGGTGCCAGCACCGGGCGAAAGGGAAGCAGTGATTAAGGAGGTGCACACAAAGCTGGGACATTTCGGACATGAAAGGACTGTACAGTTACTGAAGACGGGGTGGTGGTGGGAGGGGATGTGCAGGCAGGTGGAGAAGTGGGTGGAGGGCTGTGAAGCGTGCCAACGAAGCAGGGCCAACCTCAGCCAAGCACGGGCTGAGCTGCAGTTCTTGCCCATCCGAGGCCTGGGCTTCAGATGGTCCCTAGATCTGGCCGGAGAGTTGCCGCTAAGCCGAGGGGGAAAGCAGTACATAGTGCTGATGGTGGAGCATGTGAGCAAGTGGCTGGAGGTGAGGGCTATCCCCAGCAAAAGCTCGAGGCATGTGGCAGCAGCGTTCAAGGAGCAGGTGATATGCAGATTTGGAGCATGTGCAGAGGTGCTCACCGATCAGGGAACAGAGTTCCAGGGGGAGTTCAAGAAGCTGTTAGAAGAAGCTGGAATCACTCACAGGCGCACTTCCCACTATCACCCACAGAGTGACAGGTTGACAGAGCGGCTGGTCCAGACTCTCAAGCGAGGGCTGCAGGCATATGGGGAGAGGAGGAAGCGGGACTGGGATGATGAGCTGCATTGGGTGGCCGCGGGGTACAGATTTGGGAAGCAGGCGGCCTTGAAGGATCATTCACCTTACAACATCCTGTTCGGCTCTGAACCAGTGCTGCCAGTGGGTGCCCCGCGGGTCCTCACAGACACGGTGACAGCAGGCACCATCGACAACTGGGTGGCACTGTCAGAAGCCAGGGCCAAGCACCTGCGGGTGGTGATGCCAGCAGTACTGGAAAACCTCCACACCGCACAACTGAGAGATTCTAAGTGTTATGAGCAGCGGCAGCAGCAAGGGTTAGGGGGCAGAATGAAGAAGGGAGTGAGCCAGGGGCAAGAGGTGTACCTGAAACGGGCAAAACAAGATAGCTTGGACGTCGGGGTGGGGACAGAGAGATGGAGGGTGAGGGAAGTGTGTCCCTCAGGGATACTGGTGTTGGAGAACGAAAGGGGAGCACGGATGAAGGAGCACCTGAGCAACACAGCCCTGGTGAAGGGAAGTAAGCCTCAGCATGGAGGTCGTGTGACCCGAGCCCAAGCAGCTCGAGCCCGAGCACAGAAGGGGGCAGTGGGTGACTGAGGCGGGGCAAGGTAGAGAAGGGAAGGTGGGAGAGAGAGAGAGAGGGAGAGAGAGAGAGAGAGAGAGAGAGAGAGAGAGAGAGAGAGAGAGAGACACCTAGCCTCTGCCCTCTCCCTTTGCCCTCTGCCCTCTCCTCTGTGAGCTACTTAAAGAGGCCTTCCTGGCCTCTTCTCCTCATTTTTGGGTGGGTTCAGATTTTTTCGCTTGTTCGAGAGAGCGAGAGAGAGAGAGAGACACCTAGCCTCTGCCCTCTCCCTTTGCCCTCTGCCCTCTCCTCTGTGAGCTACTTAAAGAGGCCTTCCTGGCCTCTTCTCCTCATTGTTGGGTGGGTTCAGAATTTTTCGCTCGTTCGAGAGAGCGAGAGAGAGAGAGACACCTAGCCTCTGCCCTCTCCCTTCACCCTCTGCCCTCTCCTCTGTGAGCTACTTAAAGAGGCCTTCCTGGCCTCTTCTCCTCATTGTTGGGTGGGTTCAGAATTTTTTGCTCGCGCCGGCCGCCTTCGGCGGCCGACGCTCGAGAGCGCGGCCTTCGGCCGCGCGTGAGGGGACGGCAAAGGAACACGCACAAGAGTGACTATAAGCAACAACATACAAGCGATGGCATTCCCTACGTCAGCCTAGACAAGTGAAGCGACCATGGGGCAACCGGATCCCGCGCCTACATGCGGTGCGCTCCAAGGGCGTGAAGAACGCCCGTCAGGGAGCGCCACAGCTCCCGGACCACAAGCGTGCTTGCGCCGGCTCCAGATCCAGCGCGCAAGTGCCGCCTCAGGCCCCGGACAGCCTCGTCAAGCTGTCCCGCAGCAGCAGCGCCTCCCTCCGCGGGCGCAGCCAGCACGGGCGCCAGGAGCACCGCGAGCTGGTCTGCCGCGTCCAGGCAGGTGTCACGCTGGCGGCCACGGAATGACTCAGGAGGGATTACGGGGAGAGACGAATGTGCAACCACCTGAATCAGCAGCAGCGCGTGAAGACTCTCAGCGAGGCGATGGAGTTGGCCGAGTGTCGCCTCCGGAACACGAGTCTGCGGAGGCTGAAGCGCCTCCGCCAGGAACAGGAGCGGCTGATCCTCATCAGAGGGATGCGAATACTGCGTCGCAAATGCGCCGCCACCAGCGGCCGCAAATTCCACCCCCGCAACAGGCGGAACCGGCGGCAAGCGAAGACGCGCTCCAGAGGCGGGCGCGTACGCAGCAGGAGCCGTTGGGATGTGAACCTGAGGAGGGGGTGCAGCGACAGGCGGTGGACTCGACGGGAGCACAGGCTGGCGTGGAGCCTCTTGGGCCGGCGAGGCGCGCATCGAACTGCTCTGGCTCTGCGACGCCCTCTCCTCACGTACCGCCCTCGACACTTCCCGCTGAAGATCTGCCATCGTCACCAGCGGGCGGTACCCCCCACCACCACCGCGCCCGCGGGGACCCCTCCCGTCCCCCTGACCACCGGGGCGAGCAGGCCAGTGAGGCTGCTGCTGGTATCGCCGCGGAGAATCTCGACGGCGACGAGACGACTTGCGATCCTGGTGGGGCGAGGGGGAATGAGGGCGAGACGGTCGGCGGTCAGGCGACGGGAGACGTAACGGCTGACCTGCCGGGGCCACCGGCGCCACAGCAGGCGCGGATTGCCCCGCCGCTGAGGGCGCAACCGACGGAGCCGGGCCGCCAGTGGTGGCGGACGCCGCATTTGTCGACGGAACAGAAGCCGGTACAGGCGCGTCGGGGACAGAAGCAGGCGGTGCAATGGGCGCGCCAGGGACAAGAACTGGGGGATCAGCAACACCCCCAGCAGGAGCAGGCACCAACGGCTCGACGAAGAGGGCCAGGGGAACAGGAGCAGCCGGCGGAGCGGACGGAGTAGCCGCAGGAACAGACGGGCCAGCCCCCGACACGGCAAGGGGATCCGCGGGTGCGTGGGGAAGAGTCTTTTCAGCGACTGTTGTCGAGGGCGTCGGAGCCGGCGGTACAGGGGGCTCCGTCGGCATGGTCGCCTTTCCGGGCCCCGACTGAGGCTGGGCGACCACAGCCGACCAGTCGGCAGCGCGCACTGGCGATGGCTCAGATGCACCAGCAATCACCATCTGGAGAGCGGGGAGGCAGCGGGGCCAGGAGGCAGGTTACGAGCGGGACAGGCGGAGGTCCGGAAAACGGGTATCAAGCGGCGGGGCGTAGGGCTTTAACGGCTCTGGAGGCAACTAATGAGGATGACGAGTTAAGGGACCCATCTTATAGGGAAGAATCCCTCCCTCCAAGCGAAGACGAGGGGATCGAGGACGAAGGCAGTACAAGGGAGGCAGCGGGAAGAGGAGTAGCGAGGGTAGGGCTCTCGGCCACGCAAGCAGCACAGGCGGTTCAGCGACCATCCGATGTCCATCGAACGGGTGAAATTCCAACCCCAATCCTGCCAGGGCGGACGGGCCGCGCTCGACGAAATCGGACCGCTACTACCAATGTCGCGACGCGCCAAACCACTCCGACTCCCCGCTATTTTTCCCCTGACGAACTGGCAAAGCGAGCAGACCTGTTCGCAACCATCTCGAGCTGGGACATCGCGGCACTCTGCGACAGTCGCCAGCCTTCGCTGACACGCCGTTTACCGCCTAATCTGTGCCAACTGTTCTCGCTGGCGCTACTGACACCGTTACTCCACCTATCGCGAAACCCTGAATCCGAGGAGGGGTGGCGCCTGTTGCTGTTCCTCCCGCGCCTAACACTTCGCCAGACCTCGCCACAACGACCGAACTGGCCGGGGGTCAAAGCCCGGCTCCGAGCCTTTCAGCGCGGCGAATGGGGGCAGCTGTACCAGAACGCGGTCGACGCGGTCAACACACCCCCACCGCCACGACACCAGCCTGACACGACCGGAGTCATCAGCCAAGCCGAGGGCCTGGCGAAACGTGGCAGCCTACGCAGGGCCGTGCTGGCCATGGAGTCAACACCCGTCTGCACCCCGAGCCAGGAAATATTGGAAGAGCTGCGTCAGAAGCACCCGCCAGCAGTACCCGAAGCAGTGACCTGGCCCGAGCCACCAGAGTCAAAACTGTCCATCACCCATGCTGAGTTCGCCAAGATTCTTGGAAGGTGCGAGAACGGGGTGGGGGCCGGACCTTCAGGTACGACATTTGAGCACCTACGCGACGCGGCGATCACCAACGGAATGGTTAGCACCCATCTGCACGCCTTGGTCAATACCATGCTCGGAGGGAATTTGCCAGGCCCGGTCGCAAAAATCCTGACTGCGTCACGGCTCATAGCTCTGGCCAAGCCTGGGGGAGGAGCCCGGCCAATCGCGATAGGCGAATGTTTGACAAGGCTGACAGCCAAGGCAGCCCTGATAGCCATGGGAGAAGCTGCCCGCGAACATTTCCTGCCAATTCAGTACGGCGTGGTAGTGCCAGGTGGAGCAGAGGCAGTAATACACGCAGCCAGGGCATTCTTGGATGCCCGTCCCGACAGCCTGGTCCTCCAAGCCGATATTTCGAATGCATTCAACAGCATTTCGCGACGTGCCATCGCCACTGCGTTACAGGAGCCCGGACTCTCGCCACTACAGCCATTTGTAAAACTGACTTACGGTAACCCGTCGCAGCTGTTCCTCGACACTGATTTCAACTGCGAACCGCTGCAAAGTGAACGGGGCGTTCGGCAGGGAGATCCACTAGGCCCGTTACTGTTTGCAGCGGGAATACACCCCACGCTCTGTGAGATTACAGAGGCACACCCCAACGTGCTATGCTTGGCGTATGCGGACGATGTCACCTTCCTGGGTGACACTTCGTGCACTGTAGCAGCTTTCACAGACTTCACAGCCAAGCTGGCACGGCTGGGCCTGACGCATAATCCGCAGAAATGTGCGGCCTGGAGCTCGATCACAGTCACACAAGCACAACTCCCACCCGGGGTGCCGGTATCAAAGGACGGGGTACGGCTCCTGGGTAGCTACGTAGGGACGGACGCCGGAGCAGCTAAGTTCTTAACCGAACAGCTAGCCGAGATGACAAAGCCGCTGCCACTAATAGAACGAGCTGACCCCCAAGTAGCCGCGCTGCTACTCACGCGATGCATTTCTCGACGAGTAGCCTACCTCATTAGAACGACACCGCTCCACCTACTCCCCCGCGACACCTGGAGCCAGTGGGGTCGGGACCTGCTCACTACCTTACTCACCTCCTGCGACATCCGCATGCCAACTTGCCGCACTGAGCAAGCGCGTGTGTGGGAGCAGGCGTCGCTGCCCACATCGCTGGGTGGCATCGGCATTACAGACCCGCTCGTTGAAGGGATCTACGGTTTCACAGCGAGTTTCACTCAAGCGGCGCTGTTCTTGTCCTCCCTGGCGCTAGCACCGGAGAATGCTTTGACGATCGCTCAGAACCATATGCTACTGCCAAGAGACGACAGCACGCCGATGCATTCTTGGCTCAAGGAGTGCGAAGCGGCTCTGCCACTAGACGCGCGCGAGATCCTGGAGAAGGAGCGGCTGGAGCGATCGGATATTCGGCTACAACATGTGCTCGGGCTAAAGGTGCACGGAAGCAGATACGCTGTACAGGTCCAGGCAACCAGGCGCATGCGGCTGAACCCACTCTCAGGCCACACGCAGCGTATGTTTTCGCTGACAGGGTATGGCACCGGCGATTGGCTGACCGCGATCCCCATTGAACCCACCAGACGGGTAGGCCCCGTACACTTCGCCAACGCCGTTCGATTCCGCCTGGCCCTCCCCTTTTCAACCCCTAAGAACTGCGACTGCGCGGACAAGACCGCCATCACTGATCCCCGCCTGCCGAACCATCTCCTCCGCTGCGGCTTGGGCAAACACCGCATCAACACCCACAACGAGCTACGGGATGCGTGCATTAGCATGGCGCAGCACGCAGGTTTCATTGTTCACGGCGAGTCGGCCGCCCATTGCCCTATCGAGGAACAAACCGCCGACTTTACCATGACGGATAGAAGCAGTGGGGCGGTTTATGTCTGTGATGTCACCATCACGGACCCCATCAGCACGAGGGACCCAGAGGCGCAGAAAGGCAGGGGATGGGCGGCACGGGAACAAGCGGATAAGAAAATCCAGCATTACGCCAACCGGCCGGAGACGGTTGGCTTCTTCCCATTGGCAGTCGACACCTATGGCTGCCCATGCGCGGAAGTACCAACCTTCCTGAAGCTACTTGCAGACACGGCGGCTCGGCGCCACTTTAACGCCGACTCTAAATCCTTTTATGCCGCCAAGTTCCTGCACCAGTTTCGGCAGCGATGGTCAGTGGCCCTTCAAAGGGCCCAATCAGTGGGTCTTCTACTCAAGTTGGGCGAGGCGGCAGCAGCAGAGAACCCGCCTGTAGGGGGTATTGGTCAAGAGTTACACCTAGGGGACTGTTTTGCGGTGGTAGAGCCCATCTTGGAGCTCTAGGGGAATAGTGAGTAGGAATTGGTGCTTTGTTTGTTTGTTTGTTACATCCATACACTGCATGCTTGTACCTTGCTGCTATATCAATACAAGGACCAATAGAGAGAGAGAGAGAGAGAGAGAGAGAGAGAGAGAGAGAGGCACCTAGTGACTTAGCCGTCAAGCTGTCCCGCAGCAGCAGCGCCACCCTCCACGGGCGCAGCCAGCACGGGCGCCAGCAGCACCGCGAGCTGGTCCGCCGCATCCAGGCAAGAGTCCCGCTGGCGGCCACGGAAGGTCTCAGGAGGGATCACAGGGAGAGACGAGTGGGCCAGCACCTGAATCAGCAGCAGAGCGTGGAGACTGTCAGCGAGGCGGTGTAGCTGTCCGAGAGTCGCCTTGGGAACACGGGTCTGCGGAGGCTGGAGTGCCTCCGCCAGGAACTGGAGCGGCTCATCAGCATCAGCTGAGAGAGCGAACGTAGCCGCCAACGAGTCGCCACCCGCGGCCACAAACTCCACTCCCGCAACAGGCGGAACCGGCGGCAGATGGAGACGAGAGCCGGGAGCAGGCGCCGATACAGCGGGAGAAGGAGCTGGCGGCGCTTGGATCTGAGGGGGAGGCGCAGCAATAGGCTGCGGGTTCGGGGGGAGCGCAGCCGGACGGGGAGCCTCGTGGGCTGGCAAGGCACGCAGCGAACTGCTCTGGCTCTGCGCCGCCCTCTCCTCCCGAACCGCCCTTGACACTTCCCGCTGAAGATCCGCCATCGTCACGGGCGGGCTATACCCCCCACCCCCGCCACGAGCACGGGGACCCCTCCAATCCCCTTGACCCCCGAGGTGAGCAGGCCAGTGCGACTGTTGTTGGTACCGCCGTGGAGACTCACGCCGGCAATGAGACGACTTGCGGTCCTGGTGGGGAGCGGGGGAATGGGGGCGCGACGAGCGACGGTCAGGCGACGGAGGGCGTGACGGCTGGCCTGCAGGAGCCACCACTGTCAAAGCGGGGGCGGACTGACCCGCCGCCGCAGGCGCAACCGACGGAGCCGGTTCGCCAGTGGTGGCGGACACCGCCTTTGGTGGCGAAGCAGAGGCCTGCGCAAGCAAGCAGGGGGCAGAAGCGGTCGGCGCAACAAGGGCGCCAGGGACAGGTGCAGGGGGTTCAGCAACACCCCCAGCAGGGGCAGATGCCGACGGCTCGACAAGGGGAGCCAGGGGGCCTGGTGCCGCAGGTGGAGCAGACGGAACAGCAGCGGGAGCGGACGGGCCAGCCTTTGACCCGGCAAGGGGAGCCGCGGGTGCGTGGGGAGGAGTCTTTTCAGAGACTGCTGTCACGGGTTTCGGAGCCGGCGGTAGAAGGGGCTTCGTCGCCATGGTCGCCCTTTCGGGCTCCGCCGGAGGCTTGGCGACCACAGCCGACCAGGCGGCAACGAGCTCTGGCGATGGCTCAGGTGTTCCGGCAATCACCATCCCTAGAGCAGGGAAGCCGCGGGGCGAGGAGAGAAACCGTAAGCGGAACAGGCGGAGGACCAGAGAATGGGTATCAGGTGGCGGCGCGAAGGGCTTTAAACAACGTGGAGGAAACTAATGACGAAGACGAGCGGGACGACCCATCTTATAGGGAAGAAGCCCTTCCCGAGAGCGAAAGCGAGGAGACGGAGGGGGAAGGCATGGCGAGAGAAGGACCAAGGAGAAGGGAAGAGGTAGTGCAGCAGGCGGACTTGCAAGTGCCACAGATGGCTCAACCACCGTCCGATGTCGATCAGACGGGTGCAAATCCAACCTCAAGCCCACCAATAAGATCGAGCCGCGCCGGGAGAAATCGAACCGCCAATGCCTGTACCGCGGCGCGCCCATCAGCATCAATTCCCCGCTACTTTTCACCAGATGAGCTCGCGAAGCGGACAGACCTGTTCGCAGGCATCGCGAATTGGTGTATTGCAGCACTATGCGACAGTCGTCAGCCTCCACTGTCGCTGCGTTTAC